ACATTCAAGTAATAATGAGAACGATTTTTTAAAAATTACATTGAATGTTGCGTATTACATTATTCTCACACTTCTCCAACCTAATTATCATTTAATAAATTTCAGTTAATCAAATTGTAATGTCAAATCCAATATTTAAATAAAATAAAATAGTAAATTCTGTATTAGCGGCATGCATTTCCGATAATCAATGGTTATTTTATTAGTTACTAAAAAAACTGGTGTAATGTTTCGGAGAGATCAATATTTATTGAAGTTGTGATATAAAAAATTAACTTTTTGTTTAAAGTGAAATAAACTCATTTTAAATTTCCATTCGAATAGCTAGGCTATACGAACTTTTGATGAAATTTTTTTTTTTTCGAAATTTATAAGAAATGCAAGGATCAATACGTTCCTATAAAGGCCGGTTTTGGAAATAAACTAATGTTCATTCCACTTTTTATATGATTAGGTTCTTTTTTGATGACCTAAGGTTGCTTTTAAATTTTTTAAAAATAACCCAATAAATATAATTTTAGGTCTGCATTTTCAATTTAGTGATCATCATTTTTTAGATATATTTTCCTAGAGTTCTGTTATACGGTAGTTGTGTGAAAGCGTATTGGAGTTGGACCAATAAAGAACTGCTTACTGTAACTAGTCAACTAGGCAGGGCATGTCTGGGGCATCTCGGAGTAATTCATTATGGAGTCCTCCACAAAACTATGTATGTCTCAGCATGCAAGAGATCACGTGGGAGGCCAAAAACAAAGATCGAAACAACTGAGCTGCATGCAGATAACTGGAACGAAATATCACATGACAGGCAGAGATGGAGAAGGATGGTTAAGGTGATAAAGGATTTACAAAATCTCTTCTAATGTCAGCAGAAAAAAAAGTTTATATATATATTTTTTTTATGTTGGTTAATTATTTACTGCGATTGGGTTTCTCTCAATTAATTTATAACTGGATTATGTTTCTCTGCAGCATCTCAGACTTTTTCTTTGCCTTTTCTTAAAAATCTCAGGTGAATATTGTAGAGCTTTTAAATTTGTAGTAGCCTTAAATAGAGCATTGGAAAGGTCAACAGTTAGTGGCTCCGGTCCTAGGAATGCTACCGTGTTTGTCGACGAGTGGTCAAGTGCGGTTAGAACAAACAACACCCTCCTCCCCTCCCCCCTTTGTGCCCGTACGAGGCCCTCAAGAAGTTGTCATCTCATCCATTAAAACTCGCCTACACAGCTCCTTGTTGAAACTATTTTCAGTCACCCTTTGGTCTTGTTATTCGTCTCAAGCTACCAGAATGTCATATTAAATATTTTTTTAGTTCGTTATTTTTTTAAAATAAAAAATATGAAAAGTTATTGATTCTTAGAGACAGGAGTACAACATATATGTTTAAGAATACACTGCACACAATACGGTATTATAGATACCTTTTTTTGCTAACTGAAGGGATTGGTTTTGATAAATACATGAGTATAAGTTAAGGAATAGCTACGTTTCATTACTCAACAAACTGGAGAGATATTTTTAACAGTATAAGCTTATCACTTATTAAATAAATGTTGTATTGTGGGTTGTTAAATGATTCTTCACCAATCGGGTGCACTAGTGCATCCAGGATTTAATTTTCGGGGGGAGGCTTCAGACCGAAAGCTTTTTTTTCATATATATAACGATAATTACATTAGAAAAAAAAAACCCGAAATCCTCATGAAGCCTCCTTCCCCACTCTCATAGATCTGCCAGTGATTGGGTGTGTTCGTGTGGAAGTACTAGTTAAAACATACTACTCCTAATCGGGGATAAATTTCACGCAATCTGATTTTGTTTAATAATTAGATTACAATAATATTTTGACATTAATAACGTGTCGGACAAGAAGTTTACGAAGATGTACCGGTGAACGAACCGTTTCAGACCGGAACAACCCGAATGTATTATCTTATTCAAACACGCACGCCATATTCTCGCCTATTATGTATCACCTGCTGCCAAGATGGCGGCTTGCCGGGTGAATAAATTAAACGATGCTACAGGAAGTTGAGTAATTGGCTCCTGTGATAATGAGGCGACAAGATGTTAGAGAATTACAGAAATATTTTTATTGATGGCCTCAAATAATGAGGATTTTATAAAACGCATAAAAAAATAGAGTAAATTTTCAGTTATTATAGTTCATAATTAATAAAAGAAAAACAATAAAAAAAAACGAAATTGTGCAATTCACATGACATCAAGAAAATTATATTTGTAAGGAGATCTGGAACGGGCATCGTATATTTAGAAGACTGGCTTTTATATTTTATTAACTTCTGACTTAATGAAAGAATTCTGTTGTAAAAGATACAACAGCTTTTCTCACACAATTAATTTTGTCATCATAACATTTTGACCATGATTTTATACGACTTGATTTTCGTTTATTTTTCAATATTCAATATTTATGTATAAAAAAAAAAAAAAAAAAATGAAAACCCATTATGATCTAAAAAAGATTTTACCTAGATGATTGATAAGAATTGCCACTAATGTACTTACTTTTTCATTAATATTGTGACAGTTAGCTGTACTTAATGTGACTTTTTTCATAATTATTGTTAAAATAAATTATTGACATTGATGATTTTATGAACAGGTGTCTGTTTCATCAAGTGTAGTTTTTTTAGAGATGGATATATAGTTGGCCGTTGGAGTTGTTAAGATAAAAAATAGTCAATAATCACGTTTATTAAGTTTTCCAACATTTCGACCCAGGTATCATTGGTAATCATAATGACTTTAAAAATTAAAAATACAAAATTATCATCAGAAAAAATAATAATTCATCTTTCAAAATAATTTTTATGCTTCACGAATGTAAAATGAATTAGCCTTAAGGAAAGAATTAGTAAAATTTTATAATTCTTGATAGTATTTTATTATAACACCATCTCTCTTTATGGTGTAGCAAGCTTTTATTTTTAGAATCGATTTGGATAGATTGATATTTATTTTATCTTATGAACTATCGAATATATTATTTTTATTTACTTTATTACATATATTATTATAATGTAAGTTTCGGATAAAATATATATAAATTGCCATCAACTTCCATCCGTTTGCGGATTGGGTTTATTGCCAGATCCTCCTCCTCCCCTCCCCCTGCACTCCTATTATAAACAGAACTCAGTTAAATTAATATTTAAAGGCGGAGGGTGGATGGTATTAAAGTTGAGCCTACGGCTCCGATTACAGGCGAAGAGTTGGGTAAAACAGTTTAACCAGTAACTTTACCTATTACCTGGCCTTTATTGGGATTAGGCAAATCTTCCAGCCTCTGTTTCCCCATTCTGTTATTATATTGTATTTTAACTTCGACCGGGAAGAGGAGAGGGGGGACTCCCTGGGTAAACTTTAATATACGCCAATTACGCGGGATCTTCTTTAAGCATAGTCCTTCTTCCCCCTGATACGTATCATTAAAGTACGATTATTCGACGACGGACCATCTGAGACTCCCTACTTTTCTTTTTTTTTTATTATTCTTTTCTCTTCCGGCGGGGAGAACTCCTCAAATTGTATTAAACTGGTGAGTATAAATTTTGAACCGATCGGATTCATTTTCTGGCCGAATGGTCGCCTCTTCTCTGATGATGATAGGGTCTCCCGAGTCTCTAACTTTATCTGGCCCGGGAGGCGGGTAATATCTGTAATTTACTTTCGCTAAACCACAGATTCGAATATAATTGATAACTTGATTGAAAATGATTTACATCTAAAGGGACGTTTAATTGATTCCGGCCCAGGGCATCGGCAAGTTTATAGCACTTCATTATTTGTAGATTTCAATTTATTTTTACTGAATAGTGAACTTAAATGTTAACTTTTAAATGTGTTTGTAAAATAATATTATTGAAATTTTAAATTTAAATCAATATTTATTTATCTAATCACCTTAGTTGTAATATTAGTTTTCTAATATACTATACCCTCTTTCAATTTTTTTTTTTTTTGTAATAATTATTACATAATATAGTTTTGATTTAAATTAATTCCGTACTAGTTGGTCTTAATTATTGCTATGTATTTTGAAAAGGAGGAATTATTATTTTTTCCTTCCTCTGTCGATTTACAGTGGATCGTTCTAAATAATAAACCAAAATGTGAACAAATTACAATTGGCTGTATCTCTACTGAAATTGTGCTTTTTCGGTGTATATATATATTATTAAATTTTCTTGGAGGAAATTTAGAAGCTATTTATATTATCATAGGCGTTATTCAACATAAGTTTTTAAGATTTGAGCTGTGCGTAAATTAAAGTTTCTTTTCTTTATAACTTTTTGGTCTGTTTTCCAGAGGATTGCTTATTTTTCGCACATTTAGAAGAAGTATGTAGAATAATGGCTTAATTTGATTGGATTTGATGAGGAATTAACAAAGGCTTCTTGTACCGACAAAAAAAAAAAAAACACCTTTGAGAAATAATATATTAAGATCCTATGTATTTTTTATTATTTGTGTTTTCTTTAGAAAGATAACTTGTTTTATAGATAAATTTTAAAGCTCTACATCACGTAGGGATAAAGGACAATAGTTATCGGAGCGACTTTTATCACCATATTTGCACTAAAAAAATAAACTAATTATAATTATTAAAAATGGAAAACATATCATACCATACATACGTACAATCTTCACATCTAAATAATCCTTATAATTACTATGATTTTTTTGTTGTTTTTTAAATTATAGAGACAATATGTATTATTTTATATGCATGTTATATAGGTTAGGTATATATATCTTGATTAATTTCAAGAACAATTTCTTTACAGCAGCAATAATTACTAAATGAGTTAAATCGTTGGAGATTTCCATTTGTTTTATTTATTTATGACACATTTTATAATTATATATATTTTATGTACGTAAAACATTAAATGATAATAACCATAAATCATTTGTAAACTTGCAATATATTCTTAAGGATTTATGACTAATTTTTTTTTTTTTTTTTTTTACAGATCCTACCAGCCTTTCGGTGTTTGGAGACCAATGTCTTCGCGCTTTGCATTTGTGATTATTTAGCCAGTGTAAGTTATGCTTCTGAATAGTGATATCTTAACGAATTAGACATGTAAATAATTGTTTATAGTCATAGGCCTTTGTATTATAATAACTCGATTATATTGAAAAAAAAGATTACCAGTGATTTTTGTACATAATTATACGTAATAATTTATTTCCTATTACCTTATGCTCTTTTGAGATTTTGTAAATACATGTAAAAGTTATTTGTCTAATACTTATTAAGTACTGGAAGGCAATGTATTTATGTTATTTAAGAAACAAACAAAAAATTAAGTATCAAATTTTAAAATGAACTCCTAAATTTGTCATATATGAAATATGGAAATTTATGTAAGCTTTCATTAAGACTGATTGGCCAAATGGTTCTTGCCTGGATAGATTCCGACCTGGGTTAATTGTATACCGGTTGGGATCCATAGTTTAGAACTATTTCTTATGTAAAGCTCTGTTATATATATCGAATTTTAAGAAAATAGAAATGTATATGGTAATTTTAAGACCCATGATTGTTCCTATACTGTATTTTCTTTTTTTTTTTTTTTTTATAACTAAGTGTATTTTAGTTTTCAATAGATGCACTATAGAATCAAAATTGTATTGTAAAACCATGAAGAATGCTTGTACAGTTAAACTGTTATAGACATTGTAAATGTGTTATTTTTATGAGTAGACGCTCATCCTCTGAAGTACTCATAGTTTACAAGCTAGTCCCATTATAAAAATTAAAATTGTATAAAAGAAAAATTAAAAAAAAAAAAAAAAATTGTGTCGGTTACAATTATGTAATGATAAAACAAGAAGACTGAGGAGGTGTGTGTATTGACTTAAGGTCTTATGTACTTTAATGGTAAAAGCGCTGTGCTCAAATCTATTCAGATAATTTCAGCTTCTTTATATATTATAAATTTAAAAAACAAAACAAAAAAAAAATGACGAAATCTCTTTTAAAAATATATATATATATTTATCCTGTATTTTATAATTATGGTGCTGTTTTATGTCGATGAGATGTTAAGAGATGATTTTGATTTGTTGTAAATTCGTATTTATTTGTTTCATATTTTGTAAATATTAGTTTCTTTGTAAATATAATTTTGAGAAATGCAGGGGAGACCTCCCGAATAAAAATATTTTATAATTAAAAAAAAAAAATTGTTGTTATTCTTTGAACATCTATAATACCCAAGGAACCCTGGACAATTGCCTGGAGCCTGAGAGAAGGAGAGGATGAAAATTGAACAATTATTTTGATAGCATGAACTCAGTAGCTGGAACCTTTAATTACAGGCCTAACTTCTTTTTTTTTTTGGTTCCTTTAATTTCTCTAAGGGCTCCCTCTCCTTCTGTTGGCTATTAGTTTTGTTTATTTATTTTTATTAATTTAGCTGTTAATTAATATGTAATTAAACATTGCCACATTCAGTCAGATGACTTGAATGAATGATAATTACTCGCAATATACGTGATGAAATCATTATTAGATTTGAAATTCTTTTGTCGATGCTTGAAAAAGAAATTGAATTAGTATTTATGCATTTCATAAACATAGGTTTTATTTGAATTAAACTCATATGTTTACGTTTGCCAAACAATAGGTTATTAGCGAATTTCAGGCTATTAATCACAATTGCAATAATAATAATTTAAAAAAAAATTGAAATATAAATACTAAAGCTATTATATCTTCATGTAATAATACACTAAACTGATTATGGTACTTCAGTAATGAACTAACAAGATAGGTACTACTTTACGCTATAGACTTTATTAAAAAATTATACAAAAGTATAATTTGTAGTTTTTTTATATAATAATATGTAATCATAGAAAACTGATTACAATTCTTCCATTGGAAAAATTATAAATCGGTGGAACAGTTTGAAACAATACTACTAAAGACAAATATTTCTAATCTAGAGACATAAAAAATGATAATTCTGTTTTTCAAGTTTAATCAACGATGGCAAAAATATAATTTAGCTATATTTAATTGACATAAAAATTTTAAAGAAAAAGAAGGTAAGTGGATTTAAAAAAAAATTATATATACATAAACAAAATACTTAAATATTTTCCCTTCCTTTAAAAAAAGAAAAAAGAAAAAACATATATGTAATTCAATGAGGAATGAATAATAAGGATAAAATATTATCATATATTTTTTTATTAAAGGTAAAGGTAAGTAGTATTGGAATTATACTATTTAAAATATTGGTTTTATTATCAATATAGAAAAGTCTGTATACCTAGGTATACCTGGGTTCTATCGATGGTACTCTTACCATTTTCGAACATGGGTTAGTTTTTATTAATTTATTCTTTATGGACCATATTCTCCTTTTTTGCAAAAATATCAAAACAAAATTTCATACAATTTAATCATTGAGTACTTTAATGAATTTTCTCTGTCTGAATTTAGAACATAGAGAACAATTATAACATGAAGTAAGAATTTTGCTGCATATAAAATGGTTTGTTTCGTTTTAATGCACACTCTTTTTATACTCATAAATAAATTCGAAATTTAATAAAACGTACTTAAAAGTTTTTCTCCATCAAAAATTTACTTAATTTATTGTTGAACTAAATATATGTTTTTTCCATCAGTATGAACAGCAACTACCCTGCCGAATCAAACGCAGAAGATACATAAATTACTCTAGTTTATTATGACGATATATAAGGAAATTCAGTAGTTAAGGGTAATATTTTTATTCTAATAATTAATATTAATATAGTTTTCATCAGAAGAAACATTAGGGACAATCATAAAATATTTTAAGATCATAAAAAATGGACATTCCGTTATATTTAATAAAGATATAGCAATGTGTCAGACGATATTCTTAGAAGCCTGAAAAGAAGTTGGATATGACATTAATTATTGATTATTGAGAAAATTAATTATTAAAGCAAGAGAAGACGTCATTAGATACTTAATTCTCTCATACTATATTCTAATATCGATAATCACAAGTTATTTAGGTAACTTGTTGTTAACGCTTCAATTTTATTAGCTAAAATAAAAAAATATGTATAAATCATTAGCTTTTTTAAATATCTGTTTATCATGATTTATGACTATTATTGATATTTCTTTGTTTCAATAAAAACCAATAAAATCCATGCATAAAAAGCAGCTATATAGAACTGAATGGTTTCAAATAATTTAAAAAAAAATGTACGTTCAGAACTGACATTTTTTTTTTAGAGTGAATTGACATTTTTTAATTTAATTATCAGGCATCATCTAACACAAGGCTATTGGGCTTCTTTCTGTCCTGAAGTCTTAAAAGTAGTACTCTGCGGTTCTAGCAATTAATCAGTATTTACTGTGTTTGTAGACCGTTATCCAAGAAATGTTTGATCCATTTTCAAAATTATTGTCAATACATAAGTTTGGTCGTGTGTGACAAATAATAATATACTAACAATCTACGATTTGAAGACATTGTTTCAATTGGTGTACCAGGTTCTAGCTGTGTCTGGCAACTCACCAGTGTATTTTGATCCTCAGACTTGAATATCGCAAGGTTATTGCACTTAATACCAGTTTGCAGAACCAAGAGCCCAGCTTTATTTAGGTTATACCGGAAGCATAACGGGTCCATAGTTCCCGATGTTTCGTTTCTCGGACCGATTTCCGAGAGCACTAGCAACTATTTTCTGGAAAGCGTTAAATCCGAAATTGCTAATAATTGTCCATAGTTGCTATCGTGGGATATTCTCAGAGCTGTGTGGTGCACTATTAGTGGAACTAAACCAAAACTCACGTCTTTAGTGTTCCTCTGTACTCAGCTCAATCTTTCTGTGTCTGGGCTCACTCGGAACGAATGTAATGACTCAATTGGTTGATTTTGGGGTGTGGCCAGGCTAATTTTTCATTGGTGGGTATTACGGATGTTAGTATTCAACTATCTTGGATATCACCAGTATTAGGATTTACATCGCACAATGTAGATATAGTTAATTCGAAGGTACGACCAAATCTGAGCTTTAAATTATAGTTTTTGGAGTGCTACCAACGGGTAGTTTCTCCTCATGTTGTACATGTCATATTACTTGTTCATATTTACTTGTTGTATTATTATTAATTACAGTTGTAAATTTCGTTAATAAAAAAAAATTTATAGTTAAACAGAAAATTTTTACAATTAACAATAATTATAGTTTTGAGTAATCCTTTTTTAAATCATAAATATGAATTGTTTGTAATCTCTATGGTATATTTTGAGTCTGGATATTCTCTAGGAAGAGAATATCTTTATTTCCGAAATTCAATAGAAATTTTTGCTTCCGAAAAAAAGAAAGAAATGTATACATAAAATCCTGTGCTGGCACCGCGTGCTCAATTTAAGCGATTTCAGAAATATAATATTGAAAAATGTGTACATTAATAATGTAACATACATATTAATATTTAATTTAATTTGTGTGTAATAGGTGATTTCTATTTTATTTTCATAATTTAATCATTATTTATTTAAAGCCATATCACACAGTAAGTGATCATTATTTTTAATCGAATCCATAAAAATCAAAGCTCGATTAAAATTTGTTTTAATAAATCAGGCATGATTTTAGAATTAAAAATCAAATATAATAATTATTACACGATTTTGTAGAAAAAATAATTGTATATTCCAAACCGTGGTTGAAACATAATCTAATTATAAAATAAAGCTAAGTTTTGATAATTTATTGAACTTTTATTTTATTACTAAGTAAATAAATTATAATAATAACCTATAGGTTATTAATCTGCATTGAAACTTATGTGACTAATATAATACTATCTCTAATACAGAACTACTGACAAATAAATATTAAAATGAAACGTAAGACGGAATGGTTTGTTGGTTCCGACTTTAACCTGATAGGTTTGGATTTTTAAGGTGTTCAGCGGATAGAGTACGTAGGCATAGATTGTTAGGATTATGAGTATTGAACCTCCGGACGCCTTATTATTTGCTAAAACTTTAATCTCAGATTTTGGCATATCTCCGAATATGGTGATTGTGCAATGTTAATACAAATACTGGTGACATCTGTCGGACTTTTCATTTCGTTATAATCTAGACAACCTAAGTAGGAGTTATGGAAAAAAAGTGTTAGTTAAATTACATGTATAAGTTACGATTCTGTGTCATATCTAAATAAATACATTTTTTTATATCTCAGTATTTTATTGTATATATCTGTGTTAATTGTAACTATGTTTTGTAGATATTTATATTTTCCTTGGTACTTTTATTTTTTTTTTATATATTTGTATTTTTCTTAGTATCTTTGTATATATATATATACAAAGATACTAAGTACATTACATATATATATATGCGTGTGCTTACAATTTCCTAGATATTTTTGTAGTATACTTGCATGCCAGACTAATGTACATATTTTGTAAACTCTAATATTATTCTAAGGGGACTTCAGTCCCTCCCAGAATAAATTTATTTTTCATTTCATTTAAAAAAACAAAAAGTTATTAAAGAGTTTTTATGAGTTTAAACGAATCAGTGAATGAAGGTATAATGGTAACCATTGTTGGAGTTGTCAATATTGAATTTTCGAGATCTCTTATTATTATTATTTATTTTTAACACTTTCAATTAGTGTTGCCCTAAATCGGTCTTGGTCTTGCACTTTGCAAGATCAAGACCAAGGCCGCCTAACTGTTGCAAGACCAAGACCACGACTGGAAAAAAAAATCGATTTTTTAAATAAAAATAGTTACTTAATACTTGAAAATCTTAGTTACTATATGTAAATAATTGGTATAATCAATATACTTTTGCATTTAACTCCTCTAATTTTTCATTCGGGCTTAGTTAGGTTTCTGTTGTCTAAAAAATTACAGTAATATCTTTATAGTAATAAACTAATAAGTAGCTGCAAGACTGTTGCGAGACTCTTGCGCAAGACCAAGACCATGACCAAAATTAAGTTTGTAAGACCAAGACTCGTCTCGGTCTCGCATTTGGGCAACACTACTTTCAATGAAAGGTATTTTTCTGGAATGGGAAAGAGTACATTCCAACCACTTCAATATTGTATATTGATGAAGCTTCTTACAATCCTGGCAGTATTCAGCAGCACAGCTTTCCGTGCTCCATTTATATTGACTGTTGAGAGGCACAACTTCTCATTAGCTTCGACTGTTATTATTCTTTATTTTTTAACACTATTAATAAGAGGTACTATTGTATATTAAGGAAGCTTCTTACAATCCTGGCAGTATTCAGCAGCACAGCTTTCCGTGCTTCATTTATATTGGCTGTTGA